AAGTTCTTGCAGAAGATAAGGTTCTCTTTTTAAGGAATTTGCTTTCATTCTTAATGGCACCTGGGAACTTGTTAAGAACAAAGAAAAAAGAAATTGCTTTAAAAAATATAACATATTTTCACCAAAATGAGCCTACAGATTTGTGTGTCAGGACAAACACTAGTTATTCATAATATTATGTGAGTGAACTGCATTGTGATATACGAATATAGCATATGTACTTCATAAAAAGCATCTTTTCTCCTGGAAACATAAATAGAAGTACTAATCCTATTTTACGGTTAGAGATTTTAAGACTTAAAGATCAAATAGCACACTTGTTATCTTGATATGGCCACAAACGCAAGGAGAGTGTCAGTCTCTTGTTCCACCTTATTTTCTTCTACATCCTTTCAAATTCGTACAAAAAGAGAAGGAAATTTCATCTTTTGCATAGTGAGCCATTCTTCATCACGCCGACCCTTGTTGGAGATTCACCTGTTCAAACATAGCGAAATCTAGATGAAAACTAATTTTCTACCGGTATTCTCAACTGCACTTGGCCATTCTTTCTACATGCAGTAACGAGATCCAGCAGTAATCCTGTAAATTCTAAATCATCCCTTTGGGCAGACAGGACTCTGCCACTATATTGAATGGCCCAATTTGTATTATACTGATTGTTAAGAATGGTACTTAAGCAAGGCATTATTTCTAGTCAGCCATGAGAAATAGTTGCTAGGTCTAAAATTTTAAAAGCAGCTTGTTTTCAATTCCATCAACCAATTCAACATTTTTAGAAAGGTCATTTTAAATTGACTGGACAACTACTGTTATGACATATGGTCACCAACGGCCTGTACATGCTCCTGTTTTCTGTAATAAATCCTGATGAAGACGCTCTGGGGTGGAAATGAGATTCTGTACTGAGAAAAAGAACGACCATAGTAAGAGAAACCGTTATGCAGTGCCTATATCTCGGTATACCTGCATGCTGTGCTGGGTGGTTTATGTTTGTCTTCCTGCAATCCTCCCTACAACTCTCTAAGGTGGATGTAATCAGCCTCAATTTACAGATTCAGAAGAGGGAGCTTAGTTTTCAGAGCCTGCCTAAAGTGTCACAGCTGGTGGGGCTGCCAGGAATCCCGAGAGGGATCATTGGCTAGAAAGCCTGTGTCCTTTCCGTTCCTCTCCCCACCACCTAGCAGGGAGCTCCAGCTCTGTGGACACCGCCCTTTGGCTCTCCCCTTCTCTAAGAAAGACCTGAAGCTCCCTAGAGCTTTTCATAGTAGCACAGCGAAAGCTGACTGGATTTGGCATTAGAAGACCTGAATTTGAGTTTTCACTCCATTATGCCATTTCTGCTGATAATTAACCTCACCAAAAAATGGAACTGATAGCATTCTACGGTTGTTTTTTTTTTTTTTTTTTTTTGAGAGAGAGTCTTGCTCTGTTGCCCGGGCTAGAGTGCCATGGCGTCAGCCTAGTTCACAGCAACCTCAAACTCCTGAGCTCAAGCGATCCTTCTGCCTCAGCCTCCTGAGTAGCTGGGACTACAGGCATGCGCCACCATGCCCGGCTAATTTATATATATATATTTTTAGTTGTCCAGATCATTTCTTTCTATTTTTTAGTAGAGACGGGGTCTTGCTCTTGCTCAGGCTGGGCTAGAACTGCTGACCTTGAGCGATCCACCCGCCTCGGCCTCCCAGAGTGCCAGGATTACAGGTGTGAGCCACCGCGCCCGGCCTCTATGGTTGTTTTAAGAGTTGTCCTTACAAAAATGAGAATGTTTACTAAGAAAAGTCAGGGTAGCCAAAAGTAAAAGTTCTAAAGGAGAAATATTGGTTACTATGAGAAGATCTCAAATAGCTCCTTTTCTAAAGCTAATGGCAGATGAAAATGTTCATGCTATTTAATCCAGCATCCTTAATGTAAGTTAAAGAAAGTAACTCAATGGAAACAAAAACATGCATGCACACACACACTGCCCCGAGAAGCAGGCTGCTTGGCGCGAAGCCCACCTCCACCTCGGGTGCAACATGCCTGACTCACTTCACCTTCCTGTGCCCCAAGGTCCTCGTCTTGGGTAAAATGTGTAAAATAATGGTCCCCATCCAAGGGATATTGTGAGAGTTAAATGTAAAGTGCAATAGAGGTTTGCTATTATAATCTATAAAAATGAACACTCGAGGCTAAACAATTAAATATCCAATATTATCAGAATAATTTTAAAAATTACAGTGATTAGCATACAACATAATGTCACATTATGCAGTCATTCAAAATAATGTAGAAAAAAGAAAAAGTGTTCATGAGACATTGTATTAAAATACCACAAGTATGCATTTGTTTACTGATACTTTCTAGTATTTCAAAAGGTTTCACAATCTTCTAAAATGTCACTTTAATTTAATTACAGAATGTTTCAAGAGTTTGCAGCTCCTCTCAACAGAACATCTGACTCAGAAACCTGTACTTGTAATTCTCCTTAAAATAAAAGGAACACTACGTATTGCAAGATATTATTTAATGTGTATCTCTACCACCTATAATTTACTCCATAAATTACTATAATTTCTGATTTTAAAAAAGGGACAGAATTTAAAATACAGGTACGACTGACTATAAAAAAGATATGATTAACAGTGAGTAAATAAAACAACTCAGTCATAACACAACAATGGAATACAAGGATCCTCACTAGTAAACAGAGTCTGAGCCCTAAACTGAGTTTAAGATGCTGCTTTTATTTCTCAGTTACTTCTTTCACCCCACCAGTACTGACTGATGGCCTGCTCTGTGCCACACCAGACAGTTTTCTAGGTACTCGGGGTACGACAGTGGATAAGAAAATTCCTGCCCTCATGGAACTGACATTCTAGTGTGGGGTGAAAGAAAAACAATCAGCAAGTAAACACACAGAATGTTTGATGCTGGTAAGTGCTACGGAAAGAGCAAAGCAGGGGAAGGTGGTGAGAACGGAGAACAGGGAGCAGAGGGACTTAAAGAAGGTGGACAGGAACGACCTCAATGAGAAAGTAACATTTCTGGGAGGGAGCAAGCTCTGCAGATTTCCGGGAAAAGGGCTTTTCGAGGAGGGAAAAGCCAGGGCAGAGGCCTAAAGGCAGAACACCCCGAGCAGGGGTGAGAAGCGGTGAGGAGGCCATTGGTTGGGGGAGAGGGATTCAGAGAGGACATAGGAGGCCAGATTATGCGGGCTTCATATCTAATGGTTCACTCCAGAAATAGAATTTATACTCCTACTAAGGTAAATGCACAGAGTCTTTGTTTAGGGAGTTGGCTGATAAACTAAACTACATGGGTGGAGAAGGTCAGTCAAGAGACACAAAGCATTGACCAAAGTAAAAAACAGGAAGAAGACACAAACCTTCGCAAGGTCAAGGGCAGTTCAGGAAGCAGGGAAGCAGTCCAACACTGTGTTAAGATTTATTGTGTCTATTTTATCATAATATTATATATTTGTACTTCATTCTGAACCTTAGTATTCTGTTTCACTGTGTCCTTTCTGTCACATTAGAAAAGAATCTTCTTTAATGAATGGTCTAGCAGAGGTTGTTATCTAATTCTGGCCTCCAGGGCAGGGTTTCTCAACCTCAGCAACATGGACATTTTGGGCCACGTAATTCTTTGTTGTGAGGGCCGTCCTGCACATTGCAGAATGTTTAACAGCCTCCCGGGCCTCCACTTACTAGATACCAATAGCAACCCCCCAGCTACCATCACCTACACCAGCGGTCCCCAACCTTTTTGCCACCAGGGACTGGCTTCATGGACGGGGTGGGGAGGTGTGCAGCAGAGCTCAGGTGGTGATGTGAGGCCAGGTTCTTAACAGGCATGATGGGGGCTCAAAGGCAGCATGGTTAAAAATTCTTCATCTCAGTTTGCTGGCATGTTGTTGTTTTAACCCAATGGGTCGATCTTAAGGCACTTATCTTCTCTTTCTAACTTTTAAACATATTCAAAGCCATATGCTATATATAGCTCAGAAAGAACTCAATCCAGCTATTCCAAACACCTTCCTGTCCCAGGGCCTTTGCACTGCCTGCTCCCTATTGAATGCTTATCCCAGGCAACTCCTATGCATCCCTCAAGTGTTTTCCAGGCCTTAACGGCTAAGCCCCAGGAAGCTTTGCCCTGATCTTGGAGCATAAGCATGTCTGGTATTCCTGTTATATGCTCTCACACCATCTGTGCTCTTACTTTGTAGCAACTATCATTACAGTTAAATAATCACGTTTGTCATTGTTACTTAATGCCTCCTCTACTTCAGCAGGAACGGTATCTATCTTGTTGGCCCATGTATTTCCAGGGCACTAAAAGAATTATTGTGGATACAAATTTATATAAAAAAGTATATCACTGCCCAACTTGGTATTTTATTACTAATAACAATTTGTTATGCACCTCACAAGCAATCAAAGTACAATGATACAGACCATGACTTAAAAGATAAATTTCTTAAGGCAAAATCTTGACTGTGATTATACTTTGAGTGTACATTTTTCTCATTGGTTAACAATAAAAGCTCTCTATGAAAAGACTGCAATGGGAGCAAGAGGAACCATGAGGTCTGCTTCATTAGGTGGCAATGAATGGGCCAAGGAACAGAATGGATGCACTGAGGTCATCGTTCTGTTTTTTTGACCTTCTTATAGGCATTTATTTTGATACTATTTATTCCACACAGCATATACCATATTATATTGCTTACTTTTTAAAATGTCTGATATCCTCAAATATATTTTAACTCTTCACAGGGATTCATATTCTAGGGTATGCAGATGAGTTTCAGGGTGTCTGGGGGACCCTTGAAACTGTACATAGAGACCTATAAATACTTTCTGAAAATAGGGCCCATAACTTTTACATGATTCTCAAAGGTGTCAGTTTAAGACCCATCATCTTATATGTCTCCATTCAATTTTAAATGTCCTAGGGATATTCCCATTGTTGTTGGTCCATCTTTTAGGAAGAAAAAAAAACAAATTTTTTATTACCGATTTCCTCTCCTGTTTCAGCTCCTGAACGTAGCGTGCTAAGTCCCCAATGATGTGTGAGGTCATGTTCTCGGAGATAACTTCATGCTGCCCAGCGTAATCATTCATTTCGTTCAGGGTGGAAATGAAAGCTTTACATGACGTATACCTGTAGAACAGAACAAACACCATTCCTTTTCAAACAAGGCCACATCCATCCTAACACTGCTTAATGCCAAGGAAATATTAATTAAAATTGGGTTAATTTGCATCAACCTCCCATAGGATCCTGACAATTCATTACATATAAGTGTTCTCATCAAAATGGCTCAGAATTAATTACAATCAAAACACTTTTCATTTTGTGAAACTGAATTGCTCTATGTCATGTAATATTTGGCTTTGTTAATACTAAATCCAGATATAACCCAAAATTCATATACATGCTATATGTACTAATGTAAAGGATATTTAGGTCTAAATTAGAGACATAATATTTTGGGCTGTCCATGTCAAAATCCCTTAATTGCTTACTGAAATGGACATATTTCTTAGATGAATGAGTGGTATGACACTCAGGAGACTCCTGATATTACCAAAGCAAATCTAGACTCTAGAATGTATAATCCATACTTCCTGTATTTGTTTAGATTATATTCTAAACTTTTCCTAATTACTTTAATTGAAACAATCTGGAATAGGTCTAAGGACTCAGTACAAAAAAAGCTACTTGAGTTTGTTTTTATTGTTCTCTCCCCCAATTTAAAAACTGACACAGATATGAATGGGGACTGCAACTTATTTATTTATTTTTTTTTTTTTTGAGACAGAGTCTCATTCTTTTGCCCGGGCTAGAGTGAGTGCCGTGGCGTCAGCCTAGCTCACAGCAACCTCAAACTCCTGGGCTCAAGCCATCCTCCTGCCTCAGCCTCCCGAGTAGCTGGGACTACAGGCATGCGCCACCATGCCTGGCTAATTTCTCTATATATTTTTAGTTGTCCAATTAATTTCTTTCTAATTTTAGTAGAGACGGGGTCTCGCTCTTGCTCAGGCTGGTTTCGAACTCCTGAGCTCAAACAATCCGCCCGCCTCGGCCTCCCAGAGTGCTAGGATTACAGGCGTGAGCCACCGCGCCCGGCCTGCAACTTATTTTTATAGATAGATATTTCTTCTTTCCCTTCATAATCATCACCAACGGCATACAGACAGTCCCACAGAATTATCAATGATAAACATACTTGTACTCTTCTTCCTCCTTCGAGTTCTTTTTAGGTTGGTATTTCTTTGAAAGGTTCCTGAAATAAAAATGCAGACGTTACTTTTATATAGAAAGATAATTGAGAAATCAGGAATGAAAGATGAAATTCGTGCTTTTGTTTATAAGTTTAAAATAAAAATCACAAAATGTTCATAGCTGAAATCCATTTATTTCCTTCAATCTTTCAACATGTGTGAGCAAGCCCCTGTTATTAAAGACTTGCACAGCTTTTAAGCTTTTGCCTCAAGGGTATAGTAAATCAAACCAGAAATGATTAGTAGCTGGTCATTTAACTGGATGGTAAGACCTGGCTTGACCATGTGTAAATATGCAGTGGCTTCCATTTGTAGCACTGAGTTGCTTTTCTTACCAGGCTACCACTCCCTCCTGATCATCCTTCATGGGGGCGCTATTGCTCCAAATCCAAGGAAAACTGTGTCTATGAGTTTAAATTAAAAATCAAAGTGCCAAGGGCATGTTTCAAAGGCTGTGTGGCTGCTCCATCAAAGAGCTGATGAAAACTGTGAACAAGTCTTCCTGAAGAAGCAGAGACAATATTTTGTTCATACTAAGACATCAAACTAGGAACACTTCTAACCTGCCTAGCAGGTTTGCACTGAACACACTCAGATTAGCCAAAATCATTCTAGTTTCCCTTCCTAATCCCATCTCCAGGTTAAGAACCCAGATACTTTTGTCTACACTCAGCATGCTTAAATATACACAAAAACTAAGAGGTAATCAGGAAGAAAGAAAACTCACTGACATTGGTTCTACTGGCTGGTTTCTCCCGGGTCCTGACTTTGGACCACTGCAGTCAGAGAAATGCCCACAGGACATTGGCCGAGGACCCGCTGACTCCCCTTTGCCAGCGGTGAGTCTCTGTACTCACCACTTGCCTTATTCCCTGTTGCTATTCCTCTTTTATAGGAGGACCTTCATTATTTCCTATTTTACTTTTATTTCTTCCATTTCCCCAAAATCTACACACTTGCCTAGAAAAATATGTGATAATAAATTCATACAATTTTAATCATGATACATTTTACATACGGTGAAATGTGGTTTCATCTCTCACAAACCATATCAGGTGATGTGAGAGGCAACAGATTTTAGTCAAAAGGACATTGCGCTGGGAATCCAGAGACCTGTGCCTGGACGGGACGACCTCAACAAATAAACAAGTCTGTGCTTCTCATGTGTAAGTTGGTGGGGCTTGGACAACAGGACCTCTATTGCCCCTTCTAGTTTTGAAATTCTGAGGGAATATCTAATATCTAACATCCAATGGAATATCAACTGTTTCAACTATTTTTAAAAAATGAAGACATGAATATATAACAGTTTAAAAACTTTAAGCCAACTGAAAGAAGAATGTACTTACTTGAAGGTTGCTATCACATGAGCATACACTTAAATATACAAACTACAGCATGCTTTCTCTACAGATACTATGGATACATAGCAGAGTTTATCTCATAAATCTAGATCCAAAAGGATGAGAAAAAGCATTATTTCCTTAAAGGATGTGCCTTAGAAAAAAAATGCAAAAAGGAGAAATAATTTATATTAAAAGCACAGTACAGTTAGTACAGTTAGTACAGTTCTTTGAGTTGGTGTGTCACAGCTGCTCCCTAAAAGGTAGGAGTAGTAAAAACAACACCAGCACAGGACCAGGAATAGGAGGTGGTGCATGCAAAGCAGATGACTCCATGATCAATAGGTTCTTTTCCAAACATATTCAAAGCAGCACATGTGGGAGACTGGAGTACTGGAAAAGTCCAGTGGCTGCATGTGAGATGTTTTGAGTGCATAGTTTTAAATATTAACTATTTCTTCTGTTACCTATAACTTACAAATTTAAAATTACCACTTCTAAATTCACACCTCATAAAAATTCTTTCAAAATTGTTATTTTAAAGGTTATGTAAATTCACATTTTCTTTTTAGTCCAGTCCTTAGCAGCCATAAAAATTATTTAAATTTTACATCTAGTTGAAGGAAGACTAGCTTGAATAGATCCAGGTAAAACCAGCATTCTTTATAGTTCCCTTTCACCATTCAAATTCTAAACAGAAGTAAAGACCCATTGCAGGTGATATTCTGTAAAGCCCATCAGGTTCTGATGAACATCACTTTGACAATGTTAGCATACATAGCATTCAAAGTGCTTCTTAAAGGCACTAATGAATAATTCACTCCATGAATACCAGCAGAAACCTAAAAGCTTAAGAGATCTAGAAGTGAACTTCAGTTCTAAGGATATTTCTCTCAACAACTACTACTAAAAAAAGATCAACATTCCATTTCCATTCTCTTGGGAGAGGCTTCTCCCTCCTATTGGTATCAAGTTATTTAAAAAACAAATGAGCAAATAAACCATAAAAAATATAGCCTTTTACATTTATAATGTCTTTCTGAAATCTGAATTGTTTCCTATACTCAACCTGCTCTTCAGGTAGACGAAAAGGTAAGAGAAAAAATAGACATCCTTTAACAAGGATGCTGGGTTTAGACCTGGTTGACCTGAGAATCACAGGGAGGCTTTTCAAAATGAGATGCTCGGGCCTCATTCCAGGGCCTCATTCCAGACCCTCGGAGGAAATGGACTCCAGGGTGGGGCCCAGGAATGTTTTGTGTCTTTTTTCACTTTCTTTTATTTTTATAAAAGCTCACCACAAGGTTTCTGGATAAAGATGGCAGAATAAAATTCAATCAGAGAATTGTGCTTTCCCATCCAAAAAAAGTGAAAAACAAAAGCCAGGAAAAATTTCAGTGGCAAAAAACAAACGAATAAAGAAAGAGCCTAAACTCTGTCCACACACTTTAGAAAGTGGCGACCAAGGAGGGGAACAGAAAATTCTGGGGCAGGTTAGGAGGGATTCAGAACCCACCCTCACAGGCACAGGAAAGGAAATAAGTCCACAAACCCTGAAAATCAATTCAGACAGAAGTAAACTGGGGCATGATAAGCACTCAGGGAACAGTGACAAAAGTACTCTGAGAGGAAGACATCCATGGGGACCATCCAGAGGGATTCGGGGACTGCTAGGATTAGGGGCCCCATATTCCAGGCCTCCACGCTGAGCATGTGGGGGATTCACTCCAAACCTCATTCCACAGGATTAGGGCACATCTATGGCCTAACGGAGTACACCCCAAAACAGAATCTCTAACAAAGTTTCAGAAGAGACAGCAGAGCTCAGAGTCTCAAAGCCAGGCCCGTTCCCGGACCCTAATTCTATAACCACCTGTCCTCAGCTTTCAGCAAGTCAGGCAGAACTTACAGTGCCCCAATCTCAAATGGAACTCAGAGGGAAAGGCCACCAGTACCAGAGAAGGAAGGAAGCAGGGCAAGGAGTCTACACCCCTCACGCCATCAGAGCAAACAGGGCACTGGTATTGCCTACAAACAACAACAAAAACAAACAACAAAAACAAACTTGGCCAGGTGTCATTTAAGAACTTTATCCATTCTGTCTCATTAAGTTCCCTCAACACCCTTGTAAGGTAGGGATTATTATGATGATGATTCAGGTTTTACAGATGAAAAGATGAAGCACAGAGAGTAATTTGCCCCAAATCCTACTGCTATTAAAGTGGAAGAACCAGCATTCCATCCCAGGCATTGGGACTCTAGAGTCTGAAACTCAACCATTTCACTAAAGCGCCCTTAGTAAATATAAGCAAAGTGAAAAGAGATGAGATAGGACAGATAATACAGAAGAAAGAGTGAGAGAGAGAGAGAAAGAGAAAAATCCAGTCTGAAAACAAAAACATATAAGGGAAATAAGCAAACTCAGACTCCTCCAGATTATTTTACACTATAGACAAATTTAATGAAAACACAAAGCCAATAAAGCAAGAATCCCAAGACTACTGGATAAAACAGAATAGGATGAAAAGGGAGATGCAAAGCTAGGGAAATGAAGTAAGGACTAAAACATATCAATTATAGAACTAACACATTAGGCTGGATATCAAATTTAATAGAGGAAAGGTTTGGAATAATCACAGTATGAAAACAACTAACATAATCAGAAAAAAAAGAGGATCTAAAGAATAAGAAGGTGTAATATAAGGATAACTCGTATCTCTAAACTATATAACCCAGAAAGTAGAGTAGAAAAAACATTCAGATATAATTGAAGAAAGTTGCCCTGAAATAAATGAAGAATAGAATCTGCATGGGAAATGGTTCTAAGAAAAACTGATGAAGAATGATCAACACCATGCTTGGTGAAGTTATCAAACTGCTAAGTTGAAAAAAAAAAATTCTTTTTACTCAGAAAAAGCCAAGACGATTATAAAGAAAAAAGATCTGGCTGGCCCTAGACTTTTCTACCAAAAGATGATGCAGCAACAATGTCTGGAGAGGAAGTATGACCAGGGAACAAACAATCAAGTCAAAGTGTCTGTGTAATGGCATTCTCAAACAAGAACTCGAGCAAATCCCTCAGTTTCACTTTAATGTTTTTTTTTACTATTAAAGTAAATTTAAATTCAATTCTTTACATATATGATACATACAATATGCAATATGTTTTATAAAATGACTCCTACCTAGTCACCCTTTATGTACAATGAGCTACAATAACAAAAACAGATCAGGACCTGACTGGTTCATAAAAAAGAAAGTACGAATGGCTTAAATGTTTATAAAGATGCTCAACCTCATTCATACTAAAAAAAATGCAAATTAACACCCAGATGTACCAATCTTTACATATCAAGTTGGCGAAGATCAGCGTTTGCTAACAGGAAGCACCCGCGAGGATGAGGTTAAAGCAGGCACCACCACACGCTGCTCATGGAGCGCCGAGGGCCACAGCCTCTGCGGAGGGCGACTCGGCAACATCTCCCGGAATCAGAAGTGCTACTTCTAGGTACTTAACCTCCACACATGCTTGCCCGGGGGTTCAGTTCAAGGGTAGGGGTTCAGTTCAAGGGTATTCACGGTAACTTTGTTCAGTGTCCATCAATCCAGTGTACTACCGTAAAGCTATGAAAATAAAAAATGAACTCTTGGAACAATCTCCAGGAAGCAGAAAAGCAAGGGGTATAGTGTACTGCTGGCTCACCAGGAAGAAAACACACACGTATTTGCCTATATATGCATAAAGGATACAGTTCTCCCCAGGGAGGGAAACTACTAGACAAGGGTAGGAGAAGGGACATCTCGCTATATCCCATTTCGTACCTTTGGAATTTTCTAATCATATGAATTCCTTATCGAGCCATAACAAATAATTGAGCTTTTTTTTTTAATGAAATAGTTATTAAGGGCAATCAATAACCAGTGTTCTTACACAGGTTATATATGATGTTTTAAAATCATATTAGGAATTTCAACCTACACTGCCTTGAATAGACAGTAATCCACAGCAGGGGTTGGCAAACTTTTTGTGTAAAAGACTAGACAGTAAATATTTCAGACTCGCAGGTGACCTGCAGTCTCTGTTGCAACCACTCAACTGCCAGCTGTCTTGCAAAAGCAGCCATAGACAATATGCAATGAATGGGCATGGTCGTGTTCCAATAAAACTTTATTTACCAAACCAAGCCGTGGATGGATTCAGCCCATGGGCCCTAGTTTGCCAAGCCCTGACCTACAGGAACTGAAGTCTTATTTATCATCTTCTGTGTCTAAATAAGTCAGGATTTTGTGTCCTTTAATGCAGGAAAAAAAAAATATTTAATGATTGAAGTGTTCTCAAAAGGTCACATCCATTTTTCAACATTATATTGAAATTTCAAGTGAGTATTTGTTAAATATGCTCCAGCCACACAGGCCTTTCCATTCTTTGCATGTTTCCCACTCAGGATCCTGGCACTCGCTCACCCCTCAGCCTGGAAAAGCTCCTCCACGTCTTCATGTGCCTGGCTCCTTTCTGCCCTTCACTTCTCAAGTAATGGGTTTTCCCTGACCAGCCTAGCCAAGTAAACTCCCCCAGCCCCCTCATTCTTTGCCACATCACTGGTTTTACTTATTGGAGTGGTAAGTTTTATCTTTAAATGAGCTAATTCTCTGTTTATCTGCATGCAGTCTGTTTTCCGTAGTGAGAAGGTGAGCTCCCAAGGTTCAGGCATTTCCTGTGTCCTGTTCATCAGGGCATCCCCAGTGACTGGAACTCTGTCGGCTCCTTGTTATTTGTTCCTTTTGTTGTTAAAGCCTCGTCAGCTCTTATAGGCCGGTGCAAACACGTAATTCCCCTTGAAGCAATGCTGACTAAATGTCTTGGACCTGTACCCTATTGATTCACTCCTTCTACAAATATTTACTGAGCACCTACTATGTGCCAGGAATTGTTCCACACTATTGGGACACATCAGTGAACACAACTCAAGGGTCCCCACTCTTAAGGAGCTTACATTCTAGCAGAGAGGAAGCAGGAACAACAAACAATAAATGTAATACATAAAAATAATTTACATGAGTGAGTTTGGGAAATGTTGGTCAAAAGATACAATATTTCAGTAAGATAGCAGGAATAAGTTCAAGGGATCTATTGTACAGTGTGGTGACTATAGTTAATAGCAATGTATTGTACACTTGAAAATTTCCAACAGAACAGATTTTAGTGTTCTTACCATAAAAAAAAAAATGAGGTGATGCATATGTTAATTGGCCTTATTTGGGCATTCCACAATGTATACATATTTCAAAGCATCATGTACACCATAGATATATATAATTTTTGTCAATTAAAAAAATAGAAAAATAAAAAAATATACAGAAAAATAGAAAGTTACCAGTGATACGGAAAAACTGAAAAGCAAAGCAGGGTAAGTGGGCTGGGGGACAAGGTAGGCCTGTTGGACAGGTGACTGTCCTCAGCAGAGACTGGAAGGTGGTGAGGAGTCAGCCACCCATCCTGGGGAAGAACATGTAGGTAGTGTCTACAGGAAAGGCTGGTGCAGTAGCCCTGGGACGGGAGCACGGCTGGTAAGGAGGAGACACAGCAAGGAGGCCTCTGTACGGTTAGATAGTGAGAAGGAGGTGAGAGTTGAAAGGATGATGTTAGAAGGGTATGGGGCACCAGATCACGTAGGGTTTCACAGGACATTCACTGTATGGTTTTGGATATACTCAGAATGAAATGGGGAGTTGTTGAAATTTTGAACAGAAGGATATTGTGATCTGGTTGCTCTGTAAAAAACAGATAGGCAATATAATATGGAGTAGGATCAGGGAAACCACTTAGATTTGTCATAATCCAGGCAAGAGGGAGTGGTGATTTGCACCATGGTGGCAGCAGCGGAGGTGATAAGAAGTGGATGAATACTGGATAAATCTGGAAAGTAGAGTCGCCAGGATTTCCTGATGGCTTGGATGGGGGAGTATGAGAGAAAGAGGGAGCCAGAGATGACTCCAGGGTTTTTGACCTAAGCCAGGAAGGATGCGGCTGCCCTTAAGTGAGTGGCGAAAGCTGGCTGGTGGAAATGCAGCCGCTGTGTCAGGGAGATCAGGAGCTCGGTTTCAGACAAGTTATGTTTCAGAGGTGCTTTAGATATCCAAATAGAGGTTTTAAGCAAGCTGTTTCTGGCGCTCAGGGGGAGCCCTGGCCTGAAGATCCATATCTGTGAGTTGTTGCATATGGATCATGCCTAAAGCAGTGAGACAGATGAGGTCATCGGGGGAGTCCAGACCGAGGAAGGAGAATGACTGAGAACTGGGTGCTGGGCACCTGGATGTGAAGAGGCAGGGAGACCAGGGGCCTGCAAGGGAGACTGAGGTAGGAAGGACACCTGGAGGCTGTGCTAACGCTGCTGTGTGGCCCATTTTCACGTGAAAGACAACATTTCATGACTAACGGTACAATACTTAAATAATCAATATGAAGCAGACTATGTTCTATTTCTACTTTTAGTTCTCAAAGCCTTAAAGTGCTAATGAGGCTGATAGGCACACAATCTGTATCCTCCGGCTATAAAAATGAGTTCATTGAGCAATGGTTTACAAGTTATTTACTCAATGGAAACAAAACCTGTTATCCCTAAAAATATCCCATATGTACCACTTACGTGCTTATTTAAACAACAAAAATCCTATAGGAACATATGTTCTTTCAATGACACATGACACATCCCTTATGTAGGTGCTCTTTGGACTAAAACTAAATATTTCTAAACCAAAAATCATCTAGCACTTTAACAAGTCTTAAAGCAATATGCACAAACCAATTCAACTACACAATAACAAATCATTAAAGATTTTGCATGTCACTTCAAGTTCAAGATTAGGTCTACCAACAACTTTTAAAATCATTAAATCTTTAAAGATTTATATTTATAAAGATTACACATAAAAATTTAAGGAGGTCCTAAGTACTTTTAAAATACTGTTCCATACACACTGCTGGAAGGAGCGTGAATTAGTACAAGCACCTTGGAAAATGGTTTGATCTTATCTACTGAAGCTAAGAATGCACGTAGCCTGTGGCCCTGCAATTCCACTGCTAGGTATATCCTGGGAAATGCATTCACATATGCACAAAAAGCCTTATACAATAATGCTTCTAGGAGCACTACTTGTTATATCCCCAAATTGGAAACAACCAAATACCTAGTGACAGTAGAATGGATGAATTGTGATACGTTCAAAATACTAAAAACAGCAGCGAAATAAGCAAACTACTCCTACATGTAACAACACGGCTGAATCTCACAAGCATGAGAACAAAAGAAGCCAGACAAAAAGAATGCACACCAAATGATTACATTATAAAATCCAGAAACAGGTCCCGTTAATCCACGCAGTTAGAGTCAGGAGATGATTACCCTGCTGGGGTGAGTAGTGACCTGGAAGGGGCCAGGATGGCCTCTCAGGCCAGTCAGTCTCTGTTTCTTGACCTGAGTGCTGGATACATGGGTGTCTTTATGCTGTGAAAACGTATGGAGCTGTACACTTACGATTTGTGTACTTCTCTGTACAGATGTTATATTTCAATAAAAAGTTTACTGAAAAACAAGCTGCTCCAAAATTCATCAAATATCCTTTTGAAAAAAACTGAGCCTAAAAGCAATGACATAGTTTTTATGTTTACTGTTCTATGAAAATAAATTTTCTGTATTAAAAACAAATGTTTCTATTGAAATATTTCCTTATATAAAAAGGAAAAATATTTAAAGAACTATGTATTTATTATCCTTCCATCCATTTTGCAGTTAACAAATAACCTTTTTCAATATCAATAACTTACCTGAGTTGCTTTGCATAGCTGAGTTCAATCTCTGTCCTTTCCTTTACAAATTTGATGTATTTCTCAAGAATATCAATTCCCCACTGTGTGTGTTTTTCTAAGTTGTCAAACTGATCCTGTTAAAACAAACAAAGAGAAAGTTTGTAGTCTTTCTCTGTGATTAACATAATTTCAATGAACGAGTCTCTTAACAGTATACTGCTATATACAAAGTAGCACTAATATTTTCCATGATTATACTTGGGTGATTTTTTGTTGAGCAGTTTTAAATCAACATTACCAAATTTGGTTTGAAAACTGCCTCGAGTTTTCTGAACTCTGACCCATTCATTCATGTTTCCTATTCCTTTTAGAAACACGGTTTTTGGATATAATTGATGTCCCCGGGCAAAGGAAAATGTCTTTCCCAGATGCCAAAAACTGACAGGTGAAACACATGCACACACACACATACACACACACTAGCTCCTTAGCTGGCACCTTAACTGTTATTTCTGGGTAATCATTCAAAACAGTTGATTAAATTTGGAGCAAAGAAACTGGATAGGAGAAGGGTTACAAAATTCTGCTTCCTCAAATGGATAAAGAAATTCACATGGGGTTTTATTCACTCAAACATACAACAAGTCCACATTGTGTGCCAGGAACAGTGCTTGGAGCTGGGGAACCAAAATGAGGAGAAATATAGCCCCAACTTGCAGAGTGCCTTGGGATTCCGAGTCTGCAAGAACGAGAGGGGGTAGGTATGATAGCAACAGCTAATGCAAAGGCATGGGGATATTCAGGAATCAAGTGGATTTGTCCCAGTTGAGTGCAAGGTGGGGACAGGGTGGGGCACAAGGGAATTAGTGGCAGTGGGTGATGAGACTACAGACAGTCCAGGGCCAGATCACCCGAGGCCCTGAACACTGAGCTAAGGAGCTTAGACTCTCCTTGTAGGCACAAGTAGGACTTGCAAACGGGGTGGCATGACCACAGATGTTTAGAATCATCAGAGATGGAAGTCAGGAGATTGCTCCAATAGTCCAGATGAAAGGAAATGGAAGAAGGGAAGAATTTTAGGGACACTTAACAAATAGAATCAACTCGTGTTAGTGACTGATTGGATGAGGAGGCTGGGAGGGACATGAGGGGCAGAGAGGATTCCAAGGTGATTCTCAGGTTCTGCTCTCGGTGATTAGACAGACAGTCCAGAGAAAGAGGAATTAAATGTAGTTTTGACACGTTGAATGAGGTGCTGATATGTCCAGAAGAAGAGAGATGGAAACACAGAACCATTCAAATGAGGTCAAGAAGGGAGGCTAGTAAGTAGGTGGACCTGATGCAGTAGCCAAGCACCAGAATGCCAAAGACCATTGCAACTCTGCACAGACTCAGGACAGAGGGCCTTGCCCAGGAAGGAGAGCCCAGGAAGGACTGTGGGAGTGAGCCAGAGAGAGCATTAGCACAGCACAGGGAAAGGAGAATTTCAGCAGAAATGGCATTCTCTCTGGAAAATTTGCTGGGAAGTTTGCTGCCTCCTGAGAGGTAACAGTGATAGAGGATGAGGGTTCTAGCCCCAGCAGTGGGACTGCACAGAGACAGGCCCCCAAAGTTCTCACAGTTGTAGTCATTTGCCTATAGGATGCAGATAGCATCCCTGCCTAATTTCACAAGTCAGTCACGAGGATGATGCCAAATGGAGAAGAGCCACCTCAAATATAAAAGTATAAAGCTATTGTTCAATTCTATCACATGCGCATACAATCTAACAGTACACATTCAGTGTCGGACTTCAGCTTTTTGAAAAATATTTTATTAAGGTATGATTGACATTTTAAAAGCTGTGTATATTTAAAAAGCTGTACACAACTTCATGAATTTGGAGAAAAGTATACCACCCATGAAACCATCACTACGATCTACCCCATTTTCATATGCATCATCTCCAGAAGTTTCCTCTTAGCCTTTTATTTTTTATTTTTGATAAGACCTAACCTAAGATCTACCCTCGTGGCGGATTTTTAAGTATGCAATACAGTATGGCTAAGTATAGGCACCATGCTGTTCATCGAGCTTGTCTTTTAAGTCTGGCATCAATTTTAAGTCTGTCATTGTGCTTTCACTATTTTCCATTCGAAGCAGTGCAAACTGTTAAATGAGTAGATTTTCCACCTACGTCAAACTTGTGGAATAGGGGATGGGCAGGTGGTGGAGTCAAAAACACCATTTCTCAAACTTGAGAAATCCTGGTCTGAAAAAAAATCATTTTCTCAATCTTAATCTCACCCAAGCCCACAGAACAGTTGGAGAAACATCAAGTTATCAAACTAAGGTCTTACTTTACTAAAATGTTTCTCTAATTAAAAATAACCACTGTAAAATGTTTGTCTTTATAACTGGTAATTTTTAATATTATCATAAAAATAAGGGACAAATATTTAAAGTTCTTTTTCATTCTTGGTCCTCAATAATATATATTCCACAAACCCCTAGACTTCACCTTGAGAAACAGTGCTCAGAAAGATTATTTATGCTATCTATAAAGACAAGGGTTGTCTAGCAAATTAATAGTGTAAACAAGATGATAAGTCTCTTTAAACTACTTGAGAGAACAAAAATACAAACAATTCAAGCAATGGTTACAAATCACTCAGCAATTTAGAGCGAAGCTTTTCTTTAATTTTTTAAAATTTCTATTTGTTTATTTATATTTTTGAGACAGAGTCTTGCTCTGTTGCTCCTGGCTAGAGTGCAGTGGTGTCATCATAGCTCAATGTACCCTCCAGCTCCTGGGCTCCAGTGATCCTCCTTCCTCAACCTTCCAAGTAGCTGGGACTACAGGCATGCCCACCATCCCAGCTAATTTTGGCTAATTTTTTCTATTTTTATCATAGTAGAGATGAGGTCTCACTCTTGCTCAGGCTGGTCTCTCCTCAGCTCAAGCAATCTTTCTGCCTCGACCTCCCAAAGTGCTGGGGCAGGCATGAAGGACCACACTGGGCCAGCAAGCCTTCTTTAAAGCCCTCTGCTAATTGAGAACTCTTTGTTGACCTAGTCTATAGCAATTATATTTTTTATTTTTAAATGATAAAGATCCCTCCTTCTATTTACGAGCCCTCTCTCTGTATAATTTCTCCTCATCTCCAAAGCTTTACTTATTTTCAGTAGTCATAGGTCCCACCTTGAAAACCTGCTAAGAGCATATGCTCTTAGATTTCACTCTTGTCCTGTTAACAATCTGATTACATTATTTTTCATATTATAAAATACTAGTTTGCAGTTCTTTTCAGCCCTGATATATACAATATAAAGCAACAGCTTTTGATACTAAAACTTTCACTAACAAAAACAAAAAAAAAAAAACCCATCTACATTTGAATTGAGTCCACCTTAAAAATCGCTGGCCTCACACCAACAATGTTTTCCATAAAGTTATCTGTATTCAAGGCCATTCTGCAAGCTATAATAAAGCATTTACCAAAATGATGGGGTCTAAATAAGATAGAAGATCTTAATAATAAAAACCTGACTCAGTAACAAATGCATTAGTGCTTGTTTGTGACTACAGCATGGTTCTTTTTATGCTATATTAAAACATCTCTAATGATACCACACCCTACTCCTGCTATCACATGGATCGGCCACAGCATGGACTTTTTTGACAACAGCTAAAAGTAAATTCAAAACAGATGAAAAACTAATCAACCCACTCACATTCTTGACTAAAATGTGGAAAACTTAATGGAAAAAAATTCCAAATCTTAAAAAGACTCCTTTGTGAGCAAATATTATAAATGGTTCTTTAAAAAATACCTTTTGCTACTTTGGGGATGGTGCCATTATTCAAATGCATCCCTTCCTGCTGGATGTCTCATGACAGCGGTTCTGATGACCCTTCTGTCCTCTTAAAATCACTGAGAACCCGAAAGAGCTTTGTTTAAGTGAGTTATATTTTATCAATATTTGCTCTATCAGAAATTAGAAACAGATTTTTAAAAAATATTAATTCATTTAAAAAGACAATAATAAAATCCATTACACATTAATAGAAATAGAATATTTTTTATTTTCAAAAATGGTACTTTCCAAAACAAAACAAAAAATAGTAGGAAGAGTGGCACTATTTTACATTTTTGCAAATCTCTTTAATGTCTGGCTTAATAGATGACAGTTGGATTCTCACAGATGCTTTTGCATTCAATCTATTATGATTCCCTACTGTGGTTGAAATATATGAAAAAATATAATTTCATATAGATGTAGCTAGAAAACAAAGGAGTGTGTCAATGCCCTTTTTAGATAATTGTGGATATTCTTCTTTAATACCATACCAAACCCTGACAAATAGTAGTTTCTCAAAGGCTACTTGCAAGGTGAATCTGAAACTATAGCAATGACCTTCTGACACCCATTTACAATAAAATCCACGGTGTATCTTGCACTTTGAATGGATCTTTACATGTGCATGACTGTGTAACATTATTCACCGATCATTCAGAAAATATTATCTCACTGATATATGCAGTTCTTCCAAGTGTTGACACATTTTGTTATAAAATATCAAAAAACCCACATTTGTTTACATCACTATCTATCTCATCTTTTCTGATGAGTCTTGCCTGGGTGATAGGGTGAGACCCTGTCTCTTAAAACAAAAAAGGCCTCACACCAAAAAAGTAACTCATTCAGCTTATGACTTACACAATCACATAAGCATTTTGGTATGCATGAAAGTGCTTTATGCATACTTCTCATCTTATCACAGCAGTTTTGCCCACCATCGATTTTCCCACCATCAGGGCAAACATCAACACAGTGGAAAACCCCTCCCTTTGCAGCAAATTATTCACTCAGTGAAGGGAATTATCCCCTTCATATTATTGAGTCTACTTCAGTCTGTACTGTCTAGAATACTATTTGGGGATGCTCTATTTTGAAAAATTCACTTTCCTGAGGACTTGGGCTGTTTGAGAAGCAGACCTTAAATGACTTTATCTAAACAGAATCCCTTAGGATGGTATTACTGGCATTAGCTTTCTCTTAACTTGGAGGGGAAAGTGTCAGAGGGTATAGATTTACCCAAAGAGTAACTGTAACAAAATCTCCATTTAAAATGTTTTTAAAAATCAATTGG